TCTCCTTTGAGCGTTTTCCTAATTTGCCTTACGTTTGTGCCCAGTTCCTCAAGGCCACTATCGCACTTAATTTTCTTGAGAATGTCCGCATATGATCCTCCGTCCTTTTTGGTTATAATAATGGCATCTGGTTTCGTACGAATTMTTTTTTCAACCGGCTTTCTCTTTTTTACCACGTCCACCCATTTCTGGGATGCGGGTTTATCGAGAGAACTGTCTTTCGGTACAATCTTAATGATCTCACTATATGACACCTGCGCTTTATCGTTTGCGTTTTTTGGTTTTTTTGTTGGTGGTAAGTAACCTGATAATTCTCGTACCCTCTTTGGCGTATGCTTTTCTCTGCGGATAGGAGATACTTGCGATGCTTTCCCTACCATAGCTCTTTTTAGCGGATTATCTGGATTTTCAGCCTTGTTATGCAGCTTACAARGTCTCGCATAGCTTGATTAATATGCCTCTGCCCAGACATCATAGTTTCGAGCTCCTTGATTTTTGTGCCCAGTTTGCAAAAAAAAAATATTATCACCGTTCTGCATTTGCTCATCTTTTCCGCACTTGTTTTGTTAGTCAGCGTTTTCACAACATTCTATCGGTCCAGCAGCGGTGGTCTCCTCATTTTTGCCTTTTGTAGGCGTTCTCAATATCTTTGAATTCCTCCGAAAAGGATTTTCTGGTGTACTTCCCAAACTATTTTCAGAGGCCATATCTCTGCCAGRAAATAGTTGGGAACACCTGTCAGTGGGTATGTTCAGTCCTTTGACCTAAAGCCTTAGTTGCTTTTTTCTTTAATGGCTGGCAATGCCGTAACCAAAGGCCAAAGCGAAGAAGGAGAAACGAAAAAGGAGAAGCAGCTGATCGAACACAACAAAACGGCAGATTAATATTAAGTGCACGTTTTGTTTCGCTGTTATATGGGGAAAATCTATTTTAAGTACTTTTGTCTAAACTTACCACGAGAAGGGGCAAGTAAGAAAAAAATAAAATTTTTATTACAAATGAGATTTTACTTATCTGTTTGCTAGGTTCAATATCCAAAATGAAAGGTCCAGTCTCCCAGTAAGTCGTTACCTAAACTATGGCAATTTTACAAATTGTAATTATGTCTACTCACTTCAAACACAAAATTTACTATGTCAACAACCCTATTTGGTGCGCAATGCATACAAACATACACATATGTTTAGTTATTTAAGATAATTCTTAAAATACTATATAAGCAATAAAAATATAAAAATTAAATAAAAATGAATAAATTCTCACTCAAGATAAGTCTTTACTTTTCCCGCACYACCGGTAAAAAGTTAAAGATACTTATTTGAGTTTATAACACCATTTAAGGGGCTACATTTGATTCATTGTAGAAAGGCGGTTTTTTTTTTATTTAAAAATGTATTTTATTAGAAAATGATTACAGGACTACCTTAACGGAAAAAWTATGTGCTTTAGTTAAAACCTTAACGAAGAAAAAAAACTGAAAATTGTATTCTTAGCAGACATTTTTACAAAAAATTAAAACTTCGCGACATTATTTCAAATAGTTTAATCGAAATTAAACCTTCATCCAAGTTTTTTAGAATTGTATCTCAAAGAAATGTGTAATTTCATGAAGATCGGTTGAGTAATTCTCGAGAAATCTTGAAAACCGACTTCAAAAATACAGTTTCCAGAAAGCGCGTTTAAAGACAGCGATAA